ATGTCTTTAGAGCTGCTTTTACATTTTTATCAACTGGGCAGCAAAGTCTCAATTCTAAGAGAAGTCATTGCAAAACTATTATCCTAAAGTAGTTATGAAGTTAGTGATTGTTTGTTTATTTGTTTTTTCCCTTTTACATTTGATTATTTTTCTCTCCCTTTCCTACAATTTCTATCTATTCATTTGTTTCCCTGTTTTTACCACAGTAGAATATACAGTTGACAAACCTTTTTGGCATAATTCTTTTGTGACCACTAATAAAGTGTCATAAATCTTGCAACCCTTCCTCATGAGACAAAAAAATTAAATCACATTTCCACAAAAAAAAGCAAAAATAGAGGTCTAACTGACAAGCTTTTTGAAAGGTGCAAATAACAGAATAAAACATGTTTGTTATTTCCTGTTTCAGGTTTTAGATTGCATAACATAACATAATGCTGCACTATGGAGGCATTGATTAAAATGTGTGGGAGGAATTGAGCGCTACCAAAAGCTTAAATCACATATTTTTGTACCAATTTTATGTACTATATTTCATGTGTGTGTCACTTGTATACACATAACATTTTGCTACAAAATAAGTAAAAGTATACTTATTAAATTAATGGTTTTACTCTTATTTAACAGTAAAATGATCAGGTTTATTAGACCTTCTTGCCACTGTGTATGCAGTTTGTTTCTAAAAGCCAGAAAAGAGTCTCATTCATCAGCAGTAAAGAAAAAAATGAGGGTGGGAAGATGTGAAAAAGATGTGAAACCTTTCATCAATCTCATTGATCTCATTCAGTTTTTTTAAATGAGCTATGCAAGCAGTTTCACAGCTTCACCATCACTACTCGCAGCCTCACCCCCCCCTGCTCTGCGTGTTCTGATATAAGGTTCACAGGCCATATGTCTCGGTTTCGCTTCCTGCACAAACACATATACTCACACTTGACACACTCAACACACAGAATTCACGCTCACACACACACACACACACACACATCTCATACATACATATCACCCACAGGTCTCCAGAATTCATCACCAGATGGTGTGAGGAACAGCCTGAGTCTGACTTCCCATCATTCCCAGCTTTTCGGTCATAGCGGACCAAAATGAGTTTTTTTAACAGTGTCTTTTAGAATTCTTCTCCGACAAAGAAATAAATGGATGAGGGAAAGAAAACCTTACATTTAAAAATGCTATTATAGACTATTGACTATTTGGCAAATGTATTATGTTGCTTTAATTTGGAAAAACACACCCAAAATAAAAGTTTACCCTCAAAGTATGTTGTGTACAATGTGTATTTAATGTGCTCTTATGTTGCCAGCAGTGATGGACTGTAATATGTCCATTTAAAGGGCTTATGCAACCACACAAACCCATTATCCATCTATATTTTAGCTGTATTAGCTTATTGTCTGATACAACATCACCGCTGTCAGGATGCTGGCAAAGGCAATTAGCTCTGTCTCCCTGTCATAAAGATGCCTTGCATTGCAGTGCTGTCAGTCGTTAATGTCATGATGCCTCCTCCCCTGAGGTTTTTACCTTAAGAGAAATTTAATCAACTAATTTATCCATTATAGCGTATCAAAACCCTCATTCAACTTAATGTGTCTGCTCAACAAAATATCAGGCTAATTAAATTAAACAAATAAGTGAAACTCATTATGGTGGATAAATTCAATTAGTTTGCAAGTTGAAACAGATAAAAAGCAAACACATACATTTTTAAAAATGGGTTACTCGGTTTAAATGCTTGGATTAAAGGTACACTGTCGGGTTTTGTTTACATTCAGTGTACTGCGAGCAACAGCCATTATTGTTCCTTTCATTTGGTAGATTTGCACTGCAAGTTGACCTAAAGCCAGTTTTATTAACCAACACACCAAGAGATTTCAAATGCAGGTCCAACTCACAAAGATGAGATATTCCCAGGTGGTTTCTGAGTAAAAATACTCTGCAAACTAGGAACTAACTTAGAATTGAAATCTAGATTAATACTCAAACTTCAGCTACTGGCCTGTAAAATGTATAATAAGATCTTCATATTAGAAGGTTTATTATTTTGCCATTTATAGCTCAGTAATGTTTTTTATTTTTGCCCTCTGCAACTGCAAAAATACTGTATGTATTGTGTCACTTTACACTCTTGAACATACTGTTGAGCACACAATACAATCAAACTGGGAACCAGCACATCAAAATATTGTTCCACAGCGCCACCACTGGTCAAAAACAATGCAAGAAAAGATAACTGCAATTGCTTTCAGTTTATTCAAATAAAGGTGAGTATTAAAGGCACTATTCATGTGCATATATGCAACCAGTTATTGTGTTAGTACTAAATCAATCTACTGAGCTCTCTAACAGTCAGATACTGTACAAAAAACCTTGGAATTGACATTAACCTTTCCTGACTACTTTGAAGGTATTTAGTCCTTATTGTGGCTGAACTCATAATCAAAAACATCCATCACTCGAATTCATGGCTGGCTTGGCATTTCTTCAGCACTTCCACTGCTCAACAGTCACACAGACTCGGCCATCTGGGCACTCTGTGAGCTCTCTTCAATTCAGCTCGAGGGAAGCTTTTCTCTTCTCTAACAAGAAGCAGCTTTTCACAATTTAACGAGAAGCAATCTTTATATAAGAAGTGTCTCAATGCCACTGTGTATCCCCTACCCAGCATGCCAGTGTTGGTGGCTGGTGCCACTGTCCAATAGAAAATAAACAAGCGATAGAAAAGCCCCTGCAGACTCTCTGTATCTCTGAATACAGCATTGTTGTTTCAAATTGTACACAAAGGAAAGTCATTGTACCAGACACAGATGAGTTCAATGTAAATGACTGTAGTATGTCGGACCAGAATGGATCCACACATTCAACATGATTCTTAGGAATATACTTCAGACAAAGACCTACACATGTATGGTATGCCAACAAATGGGCTAAGATATTGCTTGAGCTCAGAAACACGTTTTTCTTTCTCTTTTTGCTTGAGAACAAGTTGTATCAACCTACAGACCTGCACTGTAATGTTGCAGGTAGGAAAACATATAAAGATAACTTAAAGGTCCAGGGTGTAACATTCAGGAGGATCTATTGGCAGAAATGAAGTGCTCTGTTTCTGCTGGAGGTGTACATGTGAAACAGTTTGTTACAATGTTAGCTATAACAATTCTACAAGGTGATTGTTGTCATGTGTCTATCAGCTTTAAAAATCAATAAATGCATCTTTAAGACCTTGAATTACATCAGCTTGTTTGCCTGTTATAGTTCGTATAGTGGTGTCTATATATACTGGCAATGTTTCCCATTTAGAGTATAAAATAAGATAAGATAAGATGTACCGTTATTGATCCCCCGTAGGATGCAACAACTATAACGTTGAATGTGCTTCTATAATACATAGCTATTTACTAGTATATGGTGAAAATATCACTGCAGCTTTCCAATAGGGCAACTTTTATGAACACTATGAGCTGTGACAAATGTTTTTATTAATGCTAAATAAATATATTACTAATGTGTAATCAGAACAACTTTTGAGTTGCCAGGTTATGAAAATTCCCTTTGTAACCAAGTGTCATCTATAATACGCTGTCCTATTGAGCTTAATCCTCTACAGTGCTTCTTAGGCCTGCAAGCTGCCTCACCTGAATTACACAGACATAAGAGAATCCAAAGAGTTCTACTGTGCACCGTTATCAGTCCTACAGCATTGGCTAGACGATGTCAAACCATCTGTTTCAAGTTGGTTTCATAATGTTCTGCAGCTTCTCCCATTGGAAAGGTGAAACACATGTTCTCCACGGAGGCATGAATGGGGTTTTTCCTCTGTTTGGAGCCCATATCATATCTGAAATCATATCAAAAGGTTTTGCAACTTTGCCATCTAAGTTATCTGTGTACACTGTGTACATTTACTTGATGATTTTTGTTTGTTTTGTTCTTTGTCGTTTCACTTTTTTTGTCTAGTTTGTCTAGTTTTTTCCATTGTCTTAGTCTAATTGTTTGTATGATTTGCTGTTCTTTGGGTCTAGTGTTTGTGTTATGTGCTGTCCTTGTTGAGTCCAACACGGACTGCATAACCTATTTAAACCGAAAAAAAAATGACTGAAAGACAGAAAATTCAGTTTATGGTGTTTATCTATTTGTTATGATAGGTGGAAAATATCAGCCCAATCAGGCAAAGAGATTTGTCACAACATGGCAACCCAAAACTTATTAGAGGTTTATAACTGATCTATATATATAGTATATAGTATACGTATATCACTACATTTATAAACCTTATAAAGAACTAAATAAATAATAAAGTCTCAAAAATGTTGTTACTTAATGTATCAGTAAAATATTCACTGACGTATCAATAAATCACAATCATAAAATGTAATTATGAAAACAGTTTAGGAATATACAAACAAGAATTTCAAGGAGAAATGGGTTAAAATTTCCAGATGCAGACCAGCACCCAATCTGAGCAGTTATGTTTTTGGTTCAAGGTCTACCTGTCTCCTAAAAGGAAAAGAAATCTACTCATGTATCTTTGGAAACAAACTGCTTCTGGACAGACGAACAGAAAACAAAAGACAATACTTTGAGCCTCTTTGTAGCAGTGAACACACACTCTTCTTTACGGAAACTAAACCCGCAACATTTACAGAAACTTTGTGGGGTCGTATTTGGGTAAAGTACCACTTTGAATAATAACCTTAAAAGCTTGGTGTGGGCAGCTGTGGGCCTGTGTTGTACTAAAACAGTGTCTTTTGTGTGTATTCTGCATCTTCCCCATTCATTATTTCTCCCGTCCCAGCACAAATAAACAATGGAGGAGGACAGGATACATTATTGAAAGAAAAGAAAAAAGCATTCTCCCAAAAATCACCAACAATGTCAACTTTCATGCTTTTGAAAACGTGCCCCGTTTTTAGACCTACTTAGGAATAATAGTGTGTTACCATAAAAGGCTCATAATAGCACAGGGGGAAAAGAGTTAATGTCAATATACCCTGAATGGATAGCATTCCTACAAAACACACAATTTCCAGCACCTGGTACGGCGTAGAGCCCACTTTAGGCAATAATTGCATATTGGTTGTGGAGGGGAAGGAAGTGGCACGCTGTGAATCGCCACCTTTAAAGAGGTTGACAGAGCAATCTTCTCTGAAATGCATTGGCGGAGCACTGAAGCACGCTCAGAGGGAGAGAGGGGAGGAGTAACAGAGAGAGATGGAAAGAGGAGAAGAGCACAGCTTGTGAATGTTGCAGATCGTTTGTATATTTCTCAAGGCATCAGGTCCCTGTTGTCTTGCTGTAGTGCTTCCAGGTTACATTCTGTGAAGGCGTTCCTAATGCTTTCTTATTACTGGAACAGAGGAATGCTAGATTGGCAGGAATTAAATCAATTCCATGGATGAATCTTGGGAGCAGGATTTTCTGTATAAATACACCAATTTAAATGACAACATAGGGCTGCAGCAGAGAAAAGCATCCTGTTCCCTCAAACCTCAAGATACCCGAGTTTCCAAAAAAAACAAGTCTTGATCAAGTCCTTACTCACATAATCGACAAAATTAAGCAAAAGCTCTCTTCGGACAGGATTAATGTACAGGGTAAGTATGGAATGAAACACTCACTGTGCTCCACATCATTTTAACAATTGGGAAATTACAGGATATGGTCTGTAATAGACATGGACGTTCAGCAGGAGAGAGCCAAAAGACTCCCGTAGGGGGGTGGAGGAGAGTTGAAAGGGGTGTGTGGAGATGCTGCGTGAGGGGAATTTGAGCCTCGGATTCATAACGCAGTGAAATCTTAATACAGAGACATGAAACACATGTTGATGTCATTCAGTGTGACGTTCACTTCCAGAGGGTATCATTGTCTCCAATGTCCATTGCAAATAAACATCCATAAATCTGATTAGGATCCATAGAAAAAACACAACTGCACTTAAAATAATCACATTTTGAAGTTTCTTTCAGTATCCATTCATTGTTGTCTGTATATGCATGAGTACACTGCAAACAGCAACTGCTAATTTGGCATGCTTTTAATGTTGTCAATTTGCCAAAATGTAAACAAATAGGGGCTAAAAAACAGGGCTTAAAAGAGTATACTTGTAGCTGACATTGCAACAGCCTGTTTGCTTGCTTTACTCCATTAAAGGAGGACCAGAGAGTTTTACAGAAAAACAGTAGGTAATTGAAATCATTACTGTGGCTGGGGTGAAAAATTACCCACATATAAGCAGTCTCGATTAAAAACATTGACCACTGCAGGTAATGTTCTAAAATCACCCCACCTCCCCTAGAGAAATAAGTCCAGTCAAAATGATGCGTAAGGAGCAAATACCTTTTCTTTAGCATTTTTTACATTTACAAGATCACAGACTGGCTGGGGGAACAATAGCGTCAATGTGCAGGGCAGGTTTTAATGAGCATCCCTCATTTGAGACAAATCTAAAATAAGTCTCAAGGCCTGTAGTGAAATCACTTATTCAGTTACAAGCCATAAACTAATTATCTGGATACAATAGTAAAGATACTACGGAGGCTGCAGGGCCATGCTTTCAATTTTTTTTTAATTATGCTACCTTGCAATCACAAATTGGTTTATATCAAGTAAACAAAAGGCCTATTTACTGCGAGACAACAACTTCACGGTATAATTACAGTGTAATCCAATAAATTATTTTAACAAAATACACAGATTACATTGAAAATTTTGAGTTACACAAACAAAAAAATTTGCTTTTACTAGTAATTTTAAGTGACACTAACTTAGATTTATAAGTTACAGAAACATTCCTGATTAAGTCATTTTTATTAGGCATTTTAGAGACATTACAAATAAAAATCACAAAATTAAATCAGTGTCACTTAAAATTACTAAAGCTACTTGATCGAGATTTTTAACTTACAAAACTGAATTAGTTTTACTTACAATTTTTGATATAATACATTTTTTGAGTTAAATTAATTTATCTGGTTTCACAGTGATATGGACAACTCAGTGTCTGGTTCATTTGATCAAACCTGATTTCAACTTTCAAGATCACTGTCATTACTGTCGGGGAGGATTCATAACTGAAATGAAAAGAGCTGTTGCCAGAATGTACATTTGAGAGTTCATTTAAGCTATTAAACTATTAAAGGTCATGTATTTGTCATTGTACACACAAAAATGCACAAAGAAATAAAACTTGTAATTCCTTCACGCTACATACACATAGAACATAAGAAATAATTCAATTTAGAAGAAGAACACAAGAGACGAGACAAGGAAATTGCGAACGTGGAGTGGAAGTATGTAAGAAATACATAAGTACTGAAGTATACACTTATTTATTCTATACTGACTTTATGAATTCTTTATGAATTCATACTGTATATTAATTCAGCAGAGATGCTCATACAGTTGGTTTAACACTAATAGCTCACTTTACCAGAACCTAGAATGGCTAAAGAATCTTAAGAAGTGAAACTTTGTGGGCAGCAGGGGTTTGTAGATTACAGTTGGTTAATTATTTATTTTTTTCTCTTAACCTCCTGGCAACCTTTTCAAAACTTTAGTAATAAGTTCAACTCTGTGTGGAAAGGAATGAGATTACTCTTACTTTGTCAGTTGCATGTTAGTATCTGCAAAATGGTTTAGTTCACTCATTTAACTCGTTCCTTTTTTACAGTTGCATTTAAGCATTTAGTTAATGATGCTTAGCTTATGCAGCTTACAATGAATACAATGTTAGTAGTATAATCTTATTAGCAAGACTACAGTAAACAATCTGTGATAAACTGCAGTAATTAGAGCTCTATGTGTGGCAAAATACTGCTGCGACTGAATGATCTCCTGTTGAAGTGAACAAAATAAAATCTGAGGAGAGAGACTGGAAGGGATTTTTAACAGCAAAAGCATTTGTGATTGATTTTCATTTCACATTCCATCACACATACTCTTCTTGTGGGCTGCGGTTTTATTTAAAGACTTTAAGACTAATGAAACAGATTTCGATTTTCACACACTGAGACGATGGTTTTCACTGTCCCTGACTGTCACAGAACCTAAACCAGCTCCGCAGTATAAAGAACTCCTTGTTTAATCCAACTTTTTAAACTGCAAAGAGTCTTTATGATGCATTTCACGACTTCAATACACTTTACCTGGCATTTATGAGAAAAGTTTACTGCATATGACTTCAACTACCTCTCCTATAACCTTCTGCAAGCCAACTCCTCAGCCATTAAATCACCAAATTAGTCCAAGTGGAAGAGAGAGAAGAAAAGTTAAGGGCTTCTGCTCAGAGTGCGGTGACCTCTGAACTCTTTGGCCAGTGCACACTTGAGTGAGTGTGTGTGTGACTGTGCGTGACAGCAAGGGGTTAACCAAAGAATGCATGGAGTCTGCTGGTACCTTGGATAATTGAGCCATTTGTTGCAAGGTCACTGCAGAGCAACCCCTGCCCCCGAAAACCTCATGTTATCAACAGCCTTGACCAGAGCAACAACAGAGTCAGGCTTTGGTAGCATCAGCAAATGTGTAAGGAAATGGTAAAGACTTGTTGTGGTAATTTTTCCATCTCAATCTCTGATATAGTTTTGGTGAGTGTCTGTTAGATCGCTGTTCTGTTGTAACATCTGTTGTCTGTTTTTTTTAATATTTGGAAATATTACTTTAAAACACCACCATTTACTCATATATATTTAGTTGTAGCATCAAATAATCCTTAAAGCAGCTATAATCTATATTTGTATATATGTCTCAATGTAAAGGGTTCGCTCATAGTGATGAACCTCCAAAGATTTATTGCTTGAATCTGCAGCTCATCTGAGCTTCATACCCAGTTCAGTGTGTAGCTGTCGGCCCAAAACTTTATTGTTTCCCATAGCATCATATTTTCCTCAGGAATTGGTGGAGACCTAAAACAGAGCTAAAAGAGAGTAAAAATTGGACTTATAATTAACTTCGACCCACTTTGGATGAAGTCAATCTGCAAAAGATAATTTTTATATTGAGTAAATCCTAAATTATTTCTTTTTCAAACAATACAGAATTTGTGAGATTTATTTTTAACAGTTTTCATTATAATTAAACCAATTTCAAGAGAACTTTCTGTCACTTTCTTACTTTAACATTAATGCCTTATTCTGTTCAAGATACAGACACTCATTTCCCTCAAACAAGGAAAACTTCACTACATTAGTAAAGCAAAAAATATAATGAAGGCCAAAAAGACTGGTTAGAAAGATGGACAAATTATTTTGTGCAGTGGAAAAAAACTTGATATTTGATATAACAATCAAATAATCCGCTGACATTGATGGTATCATCCTGTATAGTTGCAAACTGGGTAAAATGATGATGGGCAAATACCACTTGATTTAGATTTCATGATATTCCAGGACAAGCCTTGGAATCAGTTCATCAGCCCAGTCTCCTTTTCAAAAGAAGGAAGTACAACAGGAAAGCTTTGTTGGTTAAACCTCACTCTAATTGACTTTATGGCCCCGCAAACACAAACTGCAGCCTCAGCTGAGAGTGTGTGTCCTTTAAACAACCAGTATCATGGTCATAAAATCACCCAGACAAGCTCTTCTCTAAACACTGGAAGAAATGTTAAGTGGAAGTCAGCAAACGTTAGAAACAGACAACAAAAAGTGACTTTCATTTGTTTAATTTCACAGAATTCCATTTAATGAAGCATTCTTTCCAGCAAACGTCATGCAGCCAGTTTTGGTGCTACAGTATTTTAAGGCAGAGCACACAGTGTGTCATACAGGCTGCTGTCTGTTTGCAATTACACGTAAACCAACCAATGCCGGGATTCTGACTCTCAATTTTCGTTTTTTATTGAGATGGAAAACAAAACAAAGTAATTATTAAAGCATTCCACTATATTTTACTATTATGTTTATTTTATTTTATTTCTTTAACTTTATTTTCTGTGTCTTAAGACAGGCAGCAGGTAGTCCAAAGCTGGGTTTGACACTGGAAAGTTGGTAAAACAACAAAACTCTGGAAATTACAAGCGGGTGGTTTGTCATCTTGATTACATATGAATGGCACTATTATGACCAGTTTGCTCCATCTAGTTAGCTTAAGTGAGAGAGGGTCTCACAGTGATCTGACCTATTCTGGTCCCCAACTATTTTTAACTTTTAGGAAAATTATTTAATTTTCCAGCAAGGCTGAAAATATGCATTTATTTAACATATAACACCTCAGAAACAGATTTTTTTTGGCCACTTGGGGGCAGCGTAACAAATGTAATATTATCACGTTAAAAAGTTTATACGGTGAATAGCAGATACATTATCATCCATTTTTGGTTGTGTTTCTTGCCATCTTGCAAACAAAAGTCCAATATTCCTTCTCCTTTTAGCTCTGTTTTTGTCTCCACCACCTCCTGAGAAAAATATCTAGTCTAAACAGCTAATCTGTCTTTATCCGTCCAGCTTGGTGCTGTACAGGTAGGGTACAGTGAGGACATCATTTTTCAAGAGAGGTCAACTGATTATTTTTTTGAGTTCAATGTTCCATTAGGTCCTGCTATTCACAACGAATGCATCAGCCAGCATCACTCTACCAAACACAATATGCTAGGTACTATGGAGAGGAGACCAAAGGGCAAGTTGCTTGTGTTTAGCTGAAATTTTAGATTAAGTTTGAGACTCTTGCTTTACAAAAATCATCACTAAATGAATGAAAGAAAAGAAAAAACAAAGCTCTACCTTCTGAAGTACGATTTAAAGAAGCAAAGAAACGTGAGTGGTAAAAGCCGATTCTTTATCTGTGTGGAGTCATTGCCCCGCACTCACAAAGAAACTGCCATTTTCATTTGACTGAGTGCTCAGTGGGTCAAACCTCTGGGCTACCAAGTTAAAAGCATTTGGAACAAAAACACTGAAACTTTGGGAATTCAGGAGAGATGAGAGCGGGAATAAAGAATGATGCCTGTAACTTGTTCTGTGGTTATGTAACAGAAACAAAACAGGATGATATTTTTAAACCCGGTCCTGTGCAGAGGTAGAGGAACAAACATCACACACATTGCTCACCTCTATCATCTCCTTCAGCAGATTAGTCATTAATAATGCACAAAATGTATGAAATGTTTTACAGTGTTCACCAGTCAGTTCCCATGTCCTAGATTTCCGGAGATGACATGTAGCTGTGCGACGGCTTTTTGTGTTGTTTTAGAATCAATTATTCAGAGGGCTTTGAATTTACAATGAATTTTGTGTTGAATTTAAAAACTGTGGTAATAGTATTAGCTCGCAGCAGCTGAAGTGCTGGACTCGTGTTGATAAAGAGTATTCATTCATTCATTTGACTTAATCAATTAATTCAATCATTAATTGTGTTTTTAGTATATTTTTTCCACTAGCAACCTTACTAATAAACTGGAGCCACATTAGAAATTAAGCAGTTTAGGTCTAGTTTAAGTCTATAGCCATGCCAGCAACTGTATGCTAACACATGCTAACTTGCTTATATTGACATTGACACTTTCCCAGGGGGAAACTATGCAGCTGTACGTATAGGAACGAACCACATGGTACAAAAAAACTAACCAACGTCTAACGCTAGTACTAAAATATTACTAAAAACCGGTAGGCCTATGCCATTCTAAGCACAGGCATTCATGTGTGCAGACTGCTAACATGATGTTTAGCAGGTCTAAGTTTCAGTGCACCATTTTAGTTAAGTGTGTTAGCATGCTAACACTTGCTGATTAGTACAAAGTGCACCTGAAGCCAATGGGAATGTGGGTCAATGGTTGTATTTGATCATAAACCAAAGCTTTGGACAAATTTACATTTTGACCTGATGATGGCGCTAGCTCAAGTACATGGAACAGCAAAGTGATTACAATTCATCCTGAGAGAAACATGGATGTCTGAACCAAATGTCACCGCAAGTTCTCCAATAGTTTCAGTCAGAACGACAAATGCCAGATGTAAGTCTGGGACTCACCAACACACATAGCAAAGAATCTCTGTGGGCCTAATAATAATAATAATAATAATAATAATAATATGTTTTAATTATAGAGCAAAGTTAAAGTACATAAGTTGAAATAGATTTTGATAGTGAGTTGAATGTGGACAGATGGTAGAGTCTGGGATATGGTTGGGGAGTGAGCAGCTACAGAGAAGGTTCCGTCACCCCAGGTATGATGCTTGGCCCTGAGTGGTGGCGATGGGAGCTTGGCATCAGAAGATCGGAGGCTTTAGGAAGGAGTGTTATAGAGGGCTTTTGTGAGTGAGGAGAAGGACTTTGATTTGGATCTGCTGTGGGACAGGGAGCCAGTGGAGGTTCTAAAGGACAGGGATGATGTGGTCACAGGAGTGGGAGCGGCTGAGTGGTGTTCTGGATATTTAGGACTGTGGATGATGTGCCATATAAAACACTGTTGCAGTAGTCAAATCTGGATATGATGAAAGCGTGGATCAGCAGCAGAGAAGGAGAGTGATTGGTGAAGAGAAGCTAGTAGTTAAAAGATTCCGGGGGGAAAGAGCTAGTTCTGGTGATTTGGTTGATGTGGTGTTCAAAGGAGAGGTTGCTGTCAAAAATGACTCAGAGGTTGCGGATGTGTGGGGGGGGAGACAGAGTGGAGTTATCAGTGAGGCTGAAGTTGTGAGTGTTTTTGGGGAGGCCTGCAGTGCCGATCTATCTGACAGATATTGTGATATTTCACTGGATAAGTGATAAGTTTCACCTGCTGGTTGTGCTGTATGAAAAGTCAGAGGATCACAAAAGTCACTGGAATTCATCCTCTGGGGACCATGAAAATCCAGGGATTTCCAGATATTTCAGTCTCAACCAAAGTAGTGGACCCGCAGGCCGACTGGACGACATTATAATCCCAGTGCCGTTCTGTGCAGCTGAAAATAAAAAGAAGAAAGGAAACAAGTCCATGTTTTATTGATGTAATAAAGTGTGTGTTCCTGACTGTAGCAATTAAAGGACAGCTCTTTTTTATTACAATCTGGGTGTAATTGTCATAGTTTTGGCCCTTCATTTGGTAACAAAAACTGTTTAGTCATCAAAAGACAGAGACATGGCTAAAAATAAGTCAGACAGGGCACAATAATGAACTGTCAGACAATTAGACAAGTTGTAAACAAGCCTAAGAAGGCAAACAGTAAAATTATCACCCAAACTGTTCATAAACATCCATCACAGCTGACAACCCCACTTCCCTGGTTCAGCTTTAACACAAAGTACCTGTCGTAGGAGTGTGTGCAATGAGGGATTCTTACTGATGCGTCACACTTGTTCACGCTCACTTTCTGTTTTACCTTTAAAGTGGTTTAGATAATCTGGCTAA